TGATGATGATGAGAATGATGATGAGGATGATGATGATGATGATGATGGTGGTGGTGGTGGTGGTGATGATGATGAGGAGGAGGAGGAGGAGAACGAGGAGTAAAACAGGAAGAAGAGTTGGAGGAGGAGGAGGAGGAAGGTGGGGAGGAGGAGGAGGAGGAAGAAGAGGAGGAGATAGGAGGAGAGGAGGAGGAGGAGGAGGAGGACCAGGAGGAGGAGGACCAGGAGAGGAGGACCAGGAGGAGGAAGCGTCCAACGGACTTCAGGCACTCAGGAGGGTGAGGAGGGGGAGGAGGAGGAGGAGGAGGAGGAGGAGGAGGAGGAGGAGGAGAAGGAACAGTGGGAGGAGGGTGAGAAGGAAAAGGAGGAGGAGACGGAGGAGGAGGAGAAAGAGGAGGAGGAGGAATGGGAGTGAAAGCGGGAGGAGGCGGACAAGGAGGAGGAGGACGAGGAAGAGGAAGTGGTGGAGTGGGAAAACGGTAAAACGGAGCAGATGGGGGGTGAGGGAGAGAGGGGCGATGTTGATGATGATGATAATGATGATGATAAGGAGGAGGAGAAGGACGATGATGATGATGATGGTGATGATGCTGCTGATGACGATGATGATGATGATGCTGATGATGATGATGATGATGATGCTGATGATGATGATGCTGATAATCATGATGCTGATGATGATGATGCTGATGCTGATGCTGATGCTGATGATGATGATGATGATGATGATGATGATGCTGATGATGATGATGATGATGATGCTGATGTTGATGCTGATGATGATGGCGATGACAATGACAATGACGATGATGATGCTGCTGCTGATGATGAGGAGGATGAGGCGGATGAGGAGGATGATGATGAGAAGGAGGAGGATGATCATACTGATGATGATGCTGATGCTGGTGCTGGTGCTGGTGCAGATGCTGCTGATGATGATGAGGATGAGGAGGAGGAGGAGGAGGAGGGGGAGGAGGAGTAGTAGGCGGAGGAGGAGGAGAGGAGAACGAGGAGGAAGAGAAGGAGGAGGAGGAGGAGGAGGAGGAGGAAGAGGAGGAGGAAGGGGAGGAGGAGGAGGAGGAGGAGGAGGAGGAGGAGGAGACGGAGGAGGCAGGAGAGTGGAAGCCTAGAGGACGAGGAGGAGGAAGGGGAGGAGAGTGGAAGCCTTAGAGGACGAGTAGGCGGAGGAGCAGCAGCAGAAAGCAAGGGGACCTCCGAAAGTTCATATGCCTATGCCGGGTTTCCTTTCCTCTGCAGAACTCCGAGATCCGACGTCGCGACCGCACTGCAACGTCGCGAAAGCTCACCCATTTTCCCGTTGCATTGTTCGAGTCGGATCGATATGTGTTGATCTCATGTTCCCAGAAGCGTTTCTGGGAGCAGGGTTCCAGATTATTACGGGACCCCCGCCCAAGAGATAAGAGAACCCTTTTCCCCAAATGCCCAAGCAGTCCTCTTTCCTGTTCTAATATGCCCAGTCATTATCTTCTGTGTTGCCTACTCCCCAATCCTTATTGTTATTTCTCCCCCTCCTTCTATAGATGTGGGCGCAGCGGAGTTAGAGAGTGAAAAACAGCAGCAGGAGGAGGAGGAGGAGGACCTCCAAGTGACCTATACTCGCCGAACGTGTGTATCTGTTCATTCAGGGGCTGTTCGCAGATGTGTGAAGGGGGGGCCAGACCCTGGGGCCTCCAGGCTGGGACCTCGACTACATATGGAGGATTTGGGGCTCCGAAGCTGTCCATGATTCAGGGTTGTCTGACGTTTCCGACTCTTCTGGGCCTGCGGGGCGCCCTCTTCGTGGCCACGGCTGGACGGATTCAGCAGCTCGGCCCCGAATGCCCCCGCTGGCGGTTTGGGGATGGGGCAACCGTCCCGCCATCTGTTCGTGTTCCTCTTCCTCCCCCCGTTCTTTCTCGGGTCGGCGCGGGCGCCTTCAACAAACGCCACCGCCGACGCGAAGACATCGTCATCGTTATCGGCGGGCGTGATCAACATCAGCGCCGTCATTGGCCTTGCCGTTGTCATCGCCACCTTCATCATCACCATCATCATCATCATCATCATCATCATCATCATCATCATCATCAGCATCATCATCATCATCATCATCATTATCATCACTATTCTCATCATCGCGTCTACCATTGTCGGCTTCGCCATGATACCGCGCCCGCCCAAGTCACCGACTCGCATTGAACTGCCCGCTGGGAAGTGCCCAGCGGCCAGCGCCACTGCGGCCGCGCCGATCGCGCCGCATTAGTTGGCCGCTGTGCGCGCGAGCATGCGCGGGCTAGCGCGGCCGCAGAGATGCATCAGCCAACGCCAAGCATGCATCGCGATCGCCGCAGCATGGGCGCTGCAAGCCCAGCTGCGGGTGGGTGGGTGGGATGTGTGCAAGAGCATGGGATTTGTCAAGTCGTTTATGCAAGTCAATATCACCACGTATATTGCAGCGGATATATTGGACCACGGAGATCGCACCACAGAGAAGAATGCAACACGTCGGTGGCACCACACAAATTGCTAGAAGCACAGTGTTTACGGTTTACAGTGGCCAACATATACATAGTTGTGTTCCCCACACAGTGATTGCACTTCGGGGTCCGACTTTGTTTTCTAACGCACTGGGCCTGTCTGCAGTTTTGGTGGCGATGTGGCCGCCGTCGCCGCCCCCTCGCCGTCTCGTCGCCGCTCGTCGTTTGGGCCGTGTTGTGCACTGCGGTGCGCTGTGTTGCAGGTTTCTGCGCTGTGGTGCTCTGCGACTTGGTTTGCGTTGCTGTGCGGTTCTTTGCGTTGCGCCACAACGATTGCACCATATTGCGCCGCATCGGTTGCACAACATATATTCCTTTGTAAAAACAGAGGATCTACCACCCACCCCCCGGCGGTATCCGCCCCCCTTTCGGGTATGTGAATCATATACGATTCTGACCACATGTCCATCCTAAATATCAATTTGCACTATCCCCGGGGAACCGGTATCGGCCCCTTTGAGGTTCCCTTGTGCAAAACGATACGCGGGGACCTACTCTTCTCTAGCATAGCACTTTTTCGCGAATCCCTTGCAAAAAACGGAACGAAGTGCACACGCGCGCGTCGTCGCGCGCGCATGCCGAAATCCTTCAAAAACCCTCGGTGTCGGAAGGATTTCGCAATCGAGCTTCCAAACAACATACAAAACACGTGGTTTTGCAATACTGATTTGCTTAAAAAAGCTTACGCGCGAGCTCTTGCGAAGTCTTGAAAATACCATAGGTTTTTCGAGATTTTCACAACATGCTACCAAACGGGCTTCGCGCGCGCGCATGTCGAAATCTGTCGAGAGCCCTTGCGCGTTTGCCGTCGCGAAAATCCTTTTTGCAAAAAACGGGACGAAGTGCAGACGCGCGCGTCGTCGCGCGCGTATGCCGGAATCCTTCACAACCCATCGGTTTCGGAAGGATTTCAACATCGTGTGCCCAAAAAACCTACAAAAACACAAGGTTTCGCAACACGGATTTTCAACAAAAGCGTCGCGCGCGCTCCTTGCGTCGTCGTCGTCGTCGCCTACGTCGTCCTCTGTCTGTCCTCGTGTTCGTCGTCGTCGTCCTCTTTGGCGTCGTGGTCGTTTCCGTCGTCGTTGTCGCCGTGGTCGTCCTTCCTCCTCCCTCGTCGTCGTCGTCGTCCGTCGTCGACGTCTCGTCGTCGTCCCTCCGATTTCGTCGCCGTCGTCGTCGTCGTCGTCGTCGTCGTCGTTGTCGTCGTCGTCGTCTTCCCTCCTCCCTCGCCGTTGTCGTCGTCGGCGTCGCCGTCCTTCCTCCTTCTTCGTCGTTCGCGTCGTCGCCGTCCTCCCTTTTCCCTCGTCGTTGTCGTCATTGTCGTCGTTGTCGCCGTCGTCGTCCTCCCTCCTCCCTCGTCGTCGTCTTCGTTGGCGACGTCGTCGTCGTCTTCGTCGTCGGCATCGGCGTCGTCGTCGTCTTCGTCGTCGTCGACGTCGGCGTCGTCGTCCGTCGTCGTCGTCGTCGTCGTCGATGTCGTCGGAGACGTCGTCGGTGTCGTCGTAGTCGTTGTCGCTGGTGTCGTCGTAGTCGGTCTTAAGAGGTTTTGCACACAAAGTTGCGAGTGGGTGGGTGGGATGTTTGCAAGAACATGCGATGTGTCAAATCATGGGTGAAAATCAATTGCATCACATAGACTGCACCACGGAGGTTGCACAACATAAATTGCACTACGCAGATTGCTCAACACACGTTGCACGACACAGAGTGCACCACATAGAGTCCATCTGCACAACGCATATGGTGCAACACATGGTGCACAACATATGGCACACTATGATGCACACCATGTATTGCACCACGCGTAATGCACTTTTACATGTCGCGCCAGATAGACCGCACAACGCAATATGGTTAGAAACGCGTTTATTGGGGGTTCACGCTGGCTGTGAATAGTAAATTATATGTGTAAACCTATATATATATACACACATCATATATACACAGTCGGGCATCTGATTAAGAAACCACCTCCTGAAAACAAATGGCCAGCGTTTCTTGACCAGCGTGCCGGAAAACTTGCCCAGTTTCTTGAGCGCGTTCGTTTTCGAACGCTAACACAGAAGGGAAGTTGGCCCAGGGTTGTCGCAAGAATCTCCTCCAGAAAGTTGGCCCGGGTTTCTTGGTTTGTATGTTTCTTGACCATGTTTTCGGTCATACATATATTCAGGTGTAGATGTTCACAGGTATAATGAGATAGAGTTATACATACATACAAGTATAGAGCATATGTATATGCGGAATGAGATGGTGGGCGTGAGAGTGGCTTGGGCCGCCTTCATATGACGTGCGCTCGCTTCTGGGTTGCGGGGCCGAGGGGAGCGATCATTCGGCACGGGAGGCCATCGACGAGCAGAGCCTAAACGTCATCAGGCAGTCCGAGGCCAAGGCCGGCGGGCTCGGGTCGTTCTGCGTCGCCACCGCGCATCACATGGCGAGGATGTATACCGCATATGGTTG